CGCGTCCCTCCTTCCCCCTGGAACTCCACCCGGTGGTAGCCACGCCTAGCGCTGCGCGTGGCTGTGCCCCAGCGCTGGGTGTACTGGTGTCACTGTGCGCCGGGATGGGAATTCTCGCCTGGTTGTTCCCAACGGCTTTTCTTTCTGCGCTAGCAGCTCCTTCTTAGCAATCATTCCTGGCTGTTGGCTAATAGGCCTGGCAGTGGGATAGAATCCTGTTAGAATGGCCACCTCAGAAGGTTGGGAACTACTCTCCTTGCTAGAGAAGTTTTGCTTTGCAGAAAAAGATGTATGTAAGCGTGGTGAGACCCATGTACAAATGGGTGCAAATTCAAAGAGGGGAAATTTAGGTCAGATATTAGGAAAACCTTTTTTACTCTGAGGGTGGTGAGACACTGTCACAGCTTGCCCAGGGAGGTAGTAGATGCCCCAACCCTGGCAGTGTTCAAAGCCAGGCTGGATGAAGCCTTGAGCAATCTGATCTGGTGGGAGGTGTCCCTGCCCAGGTCAGAGGAGTTGGATTAGGTGATCTCTAAGGTCCATTCCAACCCCTGTGATTCTCTATACAGCAAGGCTGTGCTGGTCAGCACAGTTTTCCTATATGCTCAGCACTTCTGTAGCTTAGACTGTTTTTTTTTCTCACTGAGCTTCATGGCAGAAGAGTTCTGTGGAATGCTTCATGACCTAATAGGATGAAGGAAAGCATGACATAAGCCAAATGGAGTGGGAACATGACCTTCCAGCACTGAATGAGAGATGGTAGATAGGGTGAGATAGCTTGTGGAGGGACTTGAAAGCAGTTAATTAACACTGTCTTAGAAGATAATTGTAAAAATGCTCTAAATAGATCTAGAAAACAAAAGTGCGTTGCTTAAATCTGACAAAAGTCTGTTAAAATTCAAGATGAGTGGTGTAGGTGTTCAGATAGAATTTATAACTTAATGTTGCATTTTTCCTTTAGAAATACTTTTCTTTCTGCATAAATACCACAACTATGCGTATTTTGGGTCATGGTGAAGATTTTTTTAGAACCTTCTGTTAATTTTTTTAAATCTTCTCAAGTAAATTGTAGTTCATATAACATTTTACAGACCTCAGGTGGTCACCTTATTTGATGTTTAGTTGCAGGACCACTGTCTTATAACTGGCTCTGAACAAGTGAACCTTGAGGCCTGTAGTAGTCTATTGATTCACATCCAGCTGGTCTGAAGGTTAGGAGGGAAAGAAGGTTGCTCTGACAGATAAAAAAAACTTCAAAGGTTGCTTAAATTTGAATGGAGTTTATGCTCTTGCAGTACCAATTGATTTTTCTTCTCCATTAAATTCTGCCTTTTAATTTACGAATACTCTTATGTGAAAGAAATCTATAGCAATATATGAAAGAATTTATCAAAATAAGTTTGAGGATAGTAGAATTACTCAGACAAGATAAATTGTGTCAAGGGAGCTAGTTCTAAAATGACTGAAATATTTCTGTGTCAAGATGCACCATTAAGGGTAGACAGACACATTAGAAACATTTCTGAAGTTTGAGGGGGTTTTTTGTATCAGTTTGACATCTGTCATCTATAATTATTTTAGCTGTAATCCATCCACAACATAGAAGTCCATTTACGCAAGTTCTTCTGGTATTAGACTCAAGAGCTAGCCTATGATGCTCATAATCATGCCATAAAGGTCATAAAATACTAGACTTTGAACCAGTTATTGATACTGTGTAGGCACTGTCTTTAACTTGAGAAAATAAAATTTGGGGCGGGAGGGAAGAAGGAAAAAAAAGGTTATCTGTAAGTCTGTTTGAAAAGAAAAAGAGGGGGGAGGGAAGGCTATTTGTAGTAGAGGAGGTTAATGACAGGGTTATGGCATAGGTTTTTTTAAGTACCATCACAGAGAATCATACATGCAGTGTGGTGTTAATGAGATGTGGTGTTAATGAGATATATAGGAATTGTTTCTAAAAGATGATAAATACTTTATTAGGAGATAGCAGTAAAAATGTAAGAAATAATGTGACCTGTAGTGCAGCTGATTACAAAAAATCTGTGCTATGCTAGATTTTTGCTTGTAAGTGACATCAAGGCAGAGTAGTTGATTTTATTTTTTAAATATCAAGGTGACCATGCTGTTCTGTGTGTCAGAATCAAGAACGTAGCAGGAGCTGTGACAAAAGCAGCTCGACTTCACCTGTTTCAAGCACAGGAATGGCAGAAGCTGCAGAACAGTGTCCAAGATCACAGCTGTACAGAGAAGTTCTCTAAAGCTCAACTGACAAGTGAGTTGCTATTTTTTCCCCCCTTACAAAGTAAGTTACCAGTGTATTTAGATCTCTGTTAAGTTATCTATGTGTTTAGAATATTCATTTCAGCGAATTTGGACTTTGCATCAAACCAGGACTTTGGCCTTCTGCAATTAAAAATCACTACAAGGAAATAAAATTGCTTTGTTTGCACCACTTCAGAAGACTTTGTTTGCAAGTTACAATTTAGGATACTGCTGGAAGATGTAATCCTTGATGAAGTCATCCAAATGATGACTTCAATGCAAACAGCCAAACTTTATGACAGTTCTAGTCTCACGCTCTCACTTCTTCACAACTCAGACAGGTACATGTTTGGCTGAAGTTTTCACCTAGTCATTCAGTACAGAGATTTTCTTTAACTACAATTGGAGTATAAGTCCAAAAGTAAAAGTTTTGTTGTTGTGGTTGTTGTTTTATCTCAAGTTTTCCATTAAAAATATTATCTTGAGTCTATGAAAGAGTTTACAAAGAATACCGTTGAACTATAAAACTGAAAAGCTTGAGAATCTAGTATGTAGGATAGTCAAATGTGCAGTTTGAATTTTGACTTTTAGTGCAGTGGAATGCAAAAAATAGACAGACTGATGGAACCTGTTGCAGTTACCTCTAAACTTCTGAAGTGAATGCTTGTAGGGTGGGAGTAGGTACAAAGCAAAGGGGTAATTTTGTACCTGCAGAGCTTTTCTTTCACTGCCTCATAAAAAGCTTTTCTTTTCTGCAAAAATTATCCTGGGTTATGCTGCCTGACTTTATAACTTGCCTCTATTACCATGTAATGTTCTTTCACCTTGTAATTTTGTAATTTAGATCACTGAATCTCACATTCAAATGTTTTTAATATTTGAGCTAAGAATTATACCAATGTAGATATGTGGGTTGTCCTTCTGTCTCTTGTTTACAAAGGAACAGTTCTCATTTGTTTTCCAGTTCTATGGAAATGGCATTTTTCAAAGGCAAGAAAATGAAAATAAAGCATTATTTTCATGATAGCATGGATCTTTCACACCTTAATGTGCAAAACCTGTTAGCAACTTTTTAATACAGTATGAAAGACGAGCTAATCAGGATAAAGCTTAACCTGAGTATCCATCTAAGTGTAAAAGAACTGAAAAACACAGAAGCATTGAGTTATGTAACTGAAAGACAAACACACTGAAATAATCATTCTTACACCATTTATTATCATATTACCAAATCTACTTAAAGTGCAAATTTTCTTGTAGGAAATTATATTTGAGTGAACCTGCTAATACTAGTTCATGTGAAGTGTCTACAGCTTCTTTTTAAAATACATTTCCTCTGTGCCACTGGGATCTCTAGAGGAATAAATTGATCTCCTGTAGCACTGTCATAATGCAGATGTCATTTCTGGGGATGTAGTTTCCTTACACTCGATCAGGAAGTGCTGCTGAAATGAGTAGCAGTTGGTCCATCACTGCTATCTGTCTCTGCAGTGTTCTCACTGTTTTCTGCTGTGTTTAGGAGTTGTATGACCACAGGGTGAATTGGATGTGTTTGCTGATCTTGGGCAAAATCAATTACGCTTTTATTTTATCTGCCTTCATTTTCTCTGAGTTAGTTTGCAGAGTTGACAGAAAACTGATTAAATGTGCTCTGCGTGATCCTTAGTCTTCATGCAAATAACGGAACTCAGCTGAGAGTTGAAATGGAGAGTAAAGCTGCCCCTGTCATCCTGCAGTGAGCCTTTCATTTGGATAAGCACTAAATCTGTGTTTTGCAAAGTCTTAGGGTTTTTAAGGGAGCTATTTCACTTTGTATATTGGATTGATTACATGTAGCTCCAGAGTGGAATGCATTCTTACCATTACCCAGACAAATTGCCTGTGTTGGAATGCCCTTTTTTTTTTCTTTTTCTGGTTTGTGTGTTGTCCAAATTTGTATTTCATGACAATTGCTGCAAAGAAACATACATACGATTCTTCCTGTACTCTAATGTTGATCACTTCTTACCTTCAGAGAACAGAACATAACTTCCTGCATTTGAAACAAGTTTATTTGAATTACATAAATGCTTTTTACAGGTAGGCTTCAAGTCAGAAATTAGTTCTAAATTTTGTCTACAAAATGTTTAGGGAAAAATCAGTTTGTTAAGGGTTGTTTTGTATGTTTGCAGCTTTTTCATTTAGAGAGGCCTTTCATTAAAAAAACTTGTTTCAATTAGGTTTTTATGACATTTTTCTTTCCTCATCCTTAGCCATTGTCATCTTAAACTATTAAGGTGAATTAAACTACAGTCCAGCCACGATACTGTTATTTCTTCTACAGAGATTTTCATTTATGGTTGAGCTGATTAGCACTCAAGTAATCAATGTGATGGTACTTAGGGTTCTTGCAGTTTCACTCAAACATAGAAAACCACAGTTTTCTTTTGCATCCAATGTTTTTGGAGAGATTGTGCTTGCTTAACTGTTGCTTTTAGGAAAAATATTGGCAAGATCAGTGAGCAGATGAAATATCAGTCTCTTACATAGCTGTTTTGAAATGAAATCTGATTTGAAATATGCAGTTTTATTAGGCAATGGTTTCAGCCCTTAACTGTCAATTGAAATTCAGTGTGTTACGATTTTGGGGAAGGTGCTGTGAAACATGATGAGTTGCACCTATAAAGCATGCACACTCTTGTTTACTGAGCTCACATGCAGCTATTCCTGTTTGGTGCCCTAAATCTCTTTGAAAACAGAGCAGAATAAATTTCACAAAGGTATTCTTCATGCTGCAGAAGTACCTGTTGGGTAGTACACAACAGCTAGTCCTGTCAGTGCTGAACTAGGGGGTGGAAATGTGCTAAGCGTAGGAGACACAGTTTGCAGCTGGTGGCACCTGGCAGAAGGGAGCCCTCCCAGCCAAGCTGAAAGCTGAGAGATGGAATGTGGTACATATCTTCACCAGCCTTTGCCTGCACCTGTTTGAAACAAAAGATGTGGTTGGAGGTCTGGTCTCTGGTGTTATGGCTAGCTTTCAATACTGAGACTGTTTTGTACTGTATGTACTCTATAACCTGTTTAGGATGTTGTGGATTTAAATTTTCATTCAAAGATGAGTTTTCTAAAAGCAAACTAACCAAGTATTGACTTCTATTTTTGTTTCTTTGTTTTCTTCCAAAGTGACTGTGAACCACACAGAGCAAAATCTGACAGTGTCCCAGATTCCTTATCCGGAAACATGGTATGTGTTTTATGTAGACAAGTTTACCTGCGAGGAGAATTATTCTGAATCCGAGGATATTCAGTTTGAAATGGTCTTACTAAACCCAGATGCAGAAGGGAATCCATTAGATCACTTTAGCGCAGGGGAATCTGGTAAGATTTTTTTTCTTACAATTAGATTTGTAAGTTAAGGATCTGATCACTCAAATCAATGCTTACTATGTTTGGAAGAGTATGGGGAATGGATAGCAGAGCGTCTTATATTTCATCTTCTGCTCTCTCATGAAGAGTAAACTTCATTTGCTATCACTACAGAAAAATCCTTTCCTTTCTCTAGACTGGCCTTCCAAAACTTGCCTAACTGGAAGTGTAGATACACAAGGAAATTTAGTGTTGGCATCTTTGCTGATAGGTATTTTTACCATGTTGCAGTTGTAATCTTCCACCTGAATATGAATTTAATCCCTGATTTTAATGAATTACTTTAGCTATGTGAACTTGATTCTGTGCAACACAAGTACATACACGATAAAACATTCTGCTAGTGTAATTTCAGTTCAATGTTTAGATCTAAGTGTCTTAGTCACAGGCTGTAGATTAGATTTGTCAATCCTAATTTCATTTTAAATCTTTAATCAACCTAAGAAAAACTTCTAGAAGTTACTCAGAACAGCAAGTAAAGAAATGTCTACATAAAATTCTATACTTTTGACGTTCCAGCCTAATCTGTGCATTTCTGCAGTGCTTAGCATCACTGCCCTGGGAAGTCCTCACCTGGGTCTGTTGTGAGAGAAGGGCCCTATAGGCTTAGTTTGCCTTCATATACAGATTGAACCTATGTACCCAGAGTGAGCTTATTTGCTATGCTCAGAATCAAATGCCCTGCTGTCCTTCTTGGGCTCAAGAGGATGCAGAGGGAACAAAGGCAGCTCCGTTTTTGAAAGGAAGAAAATACCCACTGAAACACTTAGCAGAATCTGTAAGAAAGTAGCACATTAAAGTGACTATTATAAGCCTTGAAAAACAGATGGTTAACTTCTTAATCTGCAAATTTTGTTGGCAGTTTTTATTTGGTGAATTTGGTACTCAGCAGTGAATTCTAGGTTAATTTACTTATTCTAAAAAAGCAGTAGCAGCTTTTCTAAATCAAGGGGCAAAGCAGCTACAAGACATAATGTGGCCCTTTCAAGTGGTGTACAGCCCTCCTAGAGAGGCATCTCAGCTCTGTATTAATTTTGTAGGAAGACTGAGCGCTTGGAAGCAGAACTCTGAACAGCTTGCATGCTGAGTGGGGTGGTGTGTAAATATGCTGGGTGCATGTATTTAGATCTAACAAACAGGAAACAAGGTGAGCTGTACCTGCCATGTCTTCCACAGTTGCAGAGAAACACATCTGTTCATTCTGATTTAAAACCTGCATCGTTGAATCCTGAAGTTACATGCACATCTCTGTTTTCAAAGAGCTGAGGAGAATTTCATCCTTCCCCTTCCCTCTCTGTCTCATTTTTAATTTTTTAATGCGTCTTTGGGAGATACTTGTTGGTTTTCCGTAGAAACTTATAACATGAAGGTATCAAAGAGAAGATCCACCTTCATTTCTTGCTTCTTTCATGCAGGCAACTAAAAACTACATAGTTAGGCCATCCTTCATTTTTGTTACTTTTAGCTGTGCCCTGACACAGAAGATCTCAGAATTAAATGGACTAGAAAGGAAAGTATAGGAAAGAACTTGAGACTGTCACCGTGTGATTAAGATGTTTGCCTTGAGAGTCGAGGAGGCCTGGCTTCTGATCCCTGGCAAACAATCTTCTATCACTTCATATGGTAGGGTTATTTTTTACTTAAGACATGGTTATCAGTGGAATCTAGGATTATGAAAGGCAGCTGAACAGGTAAACAGCATTTTGAAGATCTTTGAAGTTAGGTATTTCACGTTAAGGTATGTATGTTTAGTTTTTTTCTGTCAACTCTAGGTTACTTGAAAGTCTGGAAGCCTAGAGTAGACAGGTTGAAAATTACTATAAAGAATACTTCTGTGTTTTCTTAAATCCTTTTGGTCTCAGGCCTGTAATCCACACTCTCTCTGTGGTTGGAAGGAGCTTTCTATCATAAATGTTTAGTGTTTATTGAAAGCTAGTTGATTTTTCTAAAGACTTCTCCATGTGTATCCACTCAGCATGGTGAGAAATAACTTACCTAACGAATCCTTGCCAAATTCAGTGGGTGTCTTGAAGGAGAAAGATAAAGAGTGTAAGAAACAAAAAGAGATTTGACCTAAAATACACATTTTTATCATTCATAAATCATACTTTTGTCTTTGTGTACAAGAGAAGCAGAGTGTCTGTGATTTTTATGTCTTTCTTCTGTCTTTTTTCTGCTGTTTCGTATATCTGTGTCTAAAATGTTTAGCCGTAGAAGTTATAATGCTAGCAAATACTCAGAACTCATCCAGTCCTAGTGTTTTTCAACTCAGATATTAAGATGTGTACACTCTAATTATTGTTTTCTTTGCTGTTTTTCTTTTCATTTATCTAAAAGTTTTCGTTCTTGGTCAACTGTGAACTGCTTTATGTGGACGAAGAGTGACACCCAGTGGTTAAAAAGAGCGAATAGAAATCTGTTCTGGGTTTCTCTTATCTCAGATTGTGCCTTAACAAATTGAAACAAACAAATATGTTTAATAATAAATACGTTTCCAACTGATCAAATGTGCTACAGCTATTTTGTGTGTATCAAGAAACTGTATGCAGTTTACACACTTTAGGTAATTGCTGCAAACTTCTCCTGTGCTCAGAAAAGGTATTGTTGAATAAAAAATACTTTGTCAGATCAAAGAATAATCAGCTAAATTTATCTCTGCTCTTGGGTGACAGTTGCTAAGTGTTTCCCAATGATTATATTAAACACCCCATATTTCATTTCAGTTATTTGCTACTAGTAGCAGCATTCCTTGTAAAAACTAGGCTGTATTTCTTTGGGTTTTCCCACAGGATTACATGAATTCTTTTTCCTGCTTGTCCTGGCATATTTTGTAACTGCTTGCATATATGCACAGTCCCTGTGGCAAACAATCAGGAAGCGTGGACCTATGCATGCTGTATTAAAGGTGTTGACAACTGCATTGCTGTTGCAGGCTGGTTCAGCTTTTGCCAACTACCTGCATTTCTCAAGGTATGTTTGCTCCTTTTTGCTTTCAGTCTTAAGATGTGAGGAATAGCGTGTTGTAAAGATCAGCACATGGTCTTGCCCGTGGTGATTGTGACAAAACACAGGACTGACTTTTAAAGTGCATCATTGCATAAATGTACTTTTAAGAGAGAACACACATTTAAGACACAACCACTTAAAAATACCACCTTTTTGTTCTTTTATCAGTTATTCTAAAGATGGGATAGGAGCTCCTTTTATGGGAAGTCTGGCAGAATGTGAGTATGCTACTGTTTCTTCCCTACTCCTACACATGAATCTGTCTACTATGTTAGTGAGCACTGTTGTTGGACTCCGTTATGATCTTGGTCCATAGCACTGGATTTTTGATACAAAATACTGAAAATTGCTTTTCTGAATTTTTTTTTCTGGATGTTTACAGTAACTGTGTTTGAAGTTATGCAATTGTGATATTGTTTAGGATTTTTCGAAGGATTTTCTTGTCTCAAGATTCCTTCCTACAAACACTTAAATACATTCTCAACATGTGAGTAAATGTTTCAGTACATTGAAGGGTTTTGTGGAGTTTGCATGATCGAGAGAGGCAAGCTTTTTAGGAAACTGAATCACATTTGAGAGAGTGTGTTGTTTCACTAACAAATTTAACAATTATTGTAATGGAAAGTATGTGCTTTACAGAACAAATTTTATGATTAACATGATTCAGAAAAATGCTTGTGTAAAGATTTGATGCAAACAAAGCATTTTTCTCTGCTCTGTATCAATATTTTGAGTTCTCACTGGAACTAAATTCCTATAACATCCTTTTCTAAAATGCACTAATTTACTCATGTTGGTTTCCTCAGGGTTAAACATAGCTATTGGGTGGTTTGGGTTTTTTGAAGCATTTGGGGGTTCTTTCTAAGCAAATACATTGCCTTTCAGTTGGCTTGAAGCACCCTAAGAAAGTAGTACTGTGGTAGTGAAATTGTGTTGGCAAGTAACAGCCTATAGAGAAAAATACTTCCCTTTGTAGAGTTCATTTAGCAACTTGTAGTTGGAATTAACAGCCTCTTGATGGCACTTGGCACCACAGTAATTGCCTCTTTCTTGTTTTAACCATTTGAGTTAGCAGCTCCTTGCAGCCTCTCCAGCAACTGTATTATTAAACTTTCCCTCTCATCTCATGTAATGAAATTTAATGGAGAATATGGAGGTAGTCATAACTCCTCCCCAGTGTTAACTATCCAACCAGAACTTCAGAGAGAATAGCTGCATGTTAGATTTTCTGTGTGTGTATTGTAGTCAAGAGCCCACTTTTACTTGCATAAAGCAGAGACTATAATGAAAAAAAATATTTTGGAATCAATAGCTGAATTTCTCAAATTTGATTTTCTCAAATTCAGCTAAGAAAGTTTTTCCTTTCTGACTGTCTTTAAGGTTTGTGATTTTTCAAAACAGTGAAAGAGCAGAAGTAATAGAAATGTGGGAAGCTTCAGTGGCAATTACAGGTCTGAAGAATGGCTGATGACAAGGAGTATAGTTTAAAGGTGGAAGGTGTTACCATTTTTCCTCTATCACAACAGAAATCTGAGTTTAAAATACATGTTGAAATTTAACTGCAGTGGGGCCAGAATAATTTTATAAAAACCTGTTCAGGTACTAGCTTGAGCAATCACTCTTTTCCTAACATGATTTAGTCTTTATTGTGTATAAAGACCTGATCCTCAGGCTAATTCATCACGTAAGGTAACCACATAAGTCAAACAAATAATGCTGGCACTCAAAAGCATCACAAACAGTGATCTTTTAACTTTTAGTAAGAATGAAGTAAAAGAAGTCAAAGACTACTACTATGCCTTGTTGAATAGCCAAAAAGGGTGAACTGTGATGCAATCAGACAGTTATGGTATCAGCTCAGTAACGTGTGGCTTTACACTGACCCTGGATATTGTGGGATTACTGTAATTTTTAGAATTTTTCTCAGCTCTCTCAAGGTGTATGAGATGTCAGCGATTAAGGCTGGTACTGAATTTTTGTCTTACACAGTTTTGTCTGTGAACCCACTTGAATTGTTGCCACACTGAAGCAGAGTGATATGTGTATCCAAGGTGTGTTTGAGAGATGATGTGTGGCTGTAACTTATAGGGCAGATTATCTTAAGGAGTGACAGAACATAAAATGCTCCTTGGAACATCCAGATTTGTTCAGTCATTTCTCTAGCTTGGATTTGTGACACTGGTTTGGCATGCCTTAGGTTCATGTAACAATTCTTTATCTAGTGAGTACTGTGTCTCCATAGGTAGCATTAGAAAATAATTCCAAGATCATTTTGCCCAAAATCAGTGCTGGTTCATTTTCTTCAAGAATGATCAAGGTTCTGTTTACTGAAAGCTCTTGACATATCTTAAACAGCAAAAGTGCCTGAAGATATTAAGAAGCACTTAAGCATATAAACTGTGAGAATACCAAACATATCCCAGGAATTACATGTTGAAGTCTGGTTTATATCCATATTTTGCTAGTATTGCTGAGTGTCAGGAAGATAGTGCAGCTGATCTTCGTTTGACACACTTCCCTTGTACTCATATTAGTCTCTGTACAGTGGCAATGTTTTCTGTGCCGGTGTTTTTAGTAAATGTGGAATACTTTGCTTTTCTAATATAGTCCAGTTGTATAAAAATAGAACTCTGCTTTTTGTGACAGAAATAGTATTCTTGTACCTGATGGTGTAAGTAAAAATTGCAAATAATGAACAAATTTAATTGAACTAAAATACTAAACTAGCAAAAAAGAAAGCATAGCTGTGTGTAGTGCCAAATCTCTAGTTTCTGAACCAAATTTACAATTTACATAGTGTGAGAATCAATTATTTTCTTGTATATCTCTGCTATGCCAGTACAATGGGTCGGGTCCCAACATTGACTTAAAAATTACTCTGTAAGTTTCCGTCAAAAACTTACCAAGTCTAAAGCTAACAATCACACAGAAAGGAATCTTCAGTTTTTCCCACTGCCGCTAGTATTTCAGGAAGGCTAACAAGTAAAGGCTTTAATATATTCTAGCTTGAAGTTTTCTGTATTCAGATACAGCTTCAAACACAGGTTTGAGACGCTGATTAAGAATGTAACTTTATAGAATATGTGTTAATTGTTCCCAAACAGTGGTAGAAATGGGCATAGCAAAATGAAGCAAAGGTTCTTTGCATTTAATAAAATGAAATACAGGCAAGTTGTTGCTCTAAATGAAGTTTGTGTTAGAGTTATTCATTATGTTTTCTCCTTTATGTGTCTCAGAGTGGAATTTGTCCTAAATATTTGTGCTTTCTTTTGGAAGCTACTACATCCTTAAGATGAAGTGCAATTAATTTAAAGTACAATGCAACTATCTGATTTTTGAACAAAAGTTCCTCAGAGCAAAGAAAGGAGTTCATTTCATCATGTTTTGTATTTGCAGTATGATTAACATACATATGATTTTTGTTCTTTAGCATTTATAAGTCTATTTATGCAGATGGACTCGTGGGTCCAGACTACTTTGACACAAGAGTGGGATTTGGAAGGATGTGGCACTGTACCCATGTTCTTGCAGAACTGCAGCATAACTAGAGGAAAGCTGATAGTGATCTATTTGGTCACTGAAAACTCCTGAAAATATCCACCTTTTGTGGCAAAGCAACCTCAGCTGGTCAAACTGTCATCAGAATTATGACTAAAGGTGATACAGAGGTGTAAGCGTCTATCCTTCATTTGTGGGTATATAGAACATTTCACAGACTCAAGCTCTGCCAGGGGAGGTTTAGGTTGGATATTAGGAAGAGATTTTTTATGGAGAGAGAAATGAGGCATTGGAATGGGCTGCCTGGGTAGGTGGTGGATTCACCATCCCTGGAGGTTTTAAAGATAGGACTGGATGTGGCACTTAGTGCCATGGTCTAGTAACCACAGTGGGGTTGGACTCAATGATCTTGAAGGTCTTTTCCAACCAGGTTGATTCTATGATTCTCTTTGCCCTAGGAAAAATAAAACTATTTTTGTTGTGACTCTACTTGTTTTTCCTTTGTTTTCAATAGTGTGTGACATAATCTCACAGATACAAGTGCTGTATTTATTGCTGAGTCTGTGTATGGGTTGGACGATAGGCAGGATGAAGAAATCTCATGGCAGACCTCTTCAGTGGGATTCCACTCCAGCATCTACTGGCGTTGCTGTAGTAGTTGTTGTTACACAGGTTTGTATTTTATATTCATTTTTATACTGAAATATACAGCTGCTGTTAGGTATGACAGAAACATGAACCAAATAATTTCAATATTTTAATTTTATGAAAGGGAGTATCAAGACTGGAAAAAAGCCCACAGCATAATGTGCACCCAGTATGTCTAATAGGTAACACCACCTTCTCTTTACTTTAACAATTTAAGGTGTAGCTCCACAGTATGTTTTTGTTCAGCAGTAAAACCACTTAAGAAGTTCCCACAGTTTTCCAAACTCCTGTTTGTGCCAGTTGTTCGTAGCATTATACTGTGACTAGATCAGTGGAATTATCTAGACTGGGGAAAAAAAGAGAAGTGATTTCAGCACAGTCATTTTACTGATCTGGTGTGTAATGTGGTCCTATAAACAGTTGTAATCAGTACAACTGAGGCACTGTGAACTGCATTATGGGGGGTGACAACAAGCAGCATGAGAGGAAAGACAAGAAAAGCTGCCGTGAGAAATTCTTTCGGTCACCAAAAAAAATGGAAATCCTCAGTGTCCTCCTTTTAGAACCACTCAAGCAGGATGTCTAATGGTCCTTTCAATCAATATAAGGGATTTCTTGAAAGGTTCATCTGCAGGATGAGTCTTGCAAATATACAAATGGTATGACACATAATTTCATTCAAATATTTTTCCATTAGTATAAATTAGAATGTCAAGTAAACCAGTAACTTAAAAGTAAATTGTAATGGAGATCACCCAACCCTGGTGGTGCCTTTTGTAAACAAATTTTTTTAAATCACATCATAAAGACAAGAGAATCTGAAAGCCATTGAGAAAGAGAAAAGCAGGGAGAAACTGGAGACAGTAATGAGGAAGAGATTATAGTGAAGATTTTGTGCTATTTGGGTAGTATCTGTAATTAGTGCTGCTCCCAAGCTAAATAAGTGGACTGCTAAAACATTAGGAGTAGCTGGGAGCTGACATTTCTTGCTAATTAAGAATGAAAACCAAAGGCTATTAAGGTCAATGGGGCTGTTGAAATTTAAAGATAGGTTCATTCCACCTTGCTTTGGCACTCACCTAGCACCAGAAATTTTACATGTTCGTAGTAAACAAAACTTCTAAAGTATTTAATTTTATTCATTCCTCTCCACTTGTTCATACTATGGGTGTGTTAGTACTCTGCCACTTGAGACTGGAAACATTTTTGTTGTTATTTCCTTTTATTATGCATAGAAAGGACACTCATTATAGTTAGCTTGATTTTTTTTTTTTTGGTTGTTGCATATGGTAAAAATTGGGGCAGGTATCATACATGCATACTGCTTCCCCCATAACTGGTCATTACACATTTCTGTTGGCTCTTGGAGCAGCACTGGAGCAGTAGCACAGCGTTGGTTATCTTTTCACCACAAAGGCACAGCTCTAACATATCTCCTGCTGGTGTTGTTGGGAACATTAGGTTTTGCAGGAGTCTTGTAGAAACAGAGTATAGGTATCAGAATACATCATTGCCTGGCTGGTTTCACACCCCATTTTAGTGTCTACTGTCTCCAGCAAAAGTTCCCTGACACCAGGAGTCCCCTTGCCTCTTCTGGAGAGGACATTTTCCATGGCATGGTTCAGTACATACAAAATACATCTTCTGCCAGATTTCTTCTCCTTAATACAGAGTGCATCTGTTGTGTTCAGGGGAACAGGATTTAGACTGTATAACCTCTATCAAAGGTGGTGAGCTCTAGACTTCATTCTCTGGATTAGTCAATTGTTCACTGGTCTGGCTAGATTAAGATAGCTAGATTGATCTACTGCAATCAGTCAGTGGGCATTTCTAATGGCTAAAAACCTATAATAACCTCCTTCCTACTCTGCTCTTTCCCAGAAATTCTTATGGGAGAGCCAGCTTCCTCCTGTGCCAGAGGTTGGACAGACTTATGTGGATAATCAGGGATGTTCTGAGGACTTGCTGTGAAAGCTGCTGGAAACTGTGTGCATTACCCTAATGCAGCAGATAGAGATTGCACCATGTTAGTTTTGTTGATGTTCTACTGTACCTGTCCTCATTTCATCTTCAGGGAAGTCAGGCAAGTGGACAGCCTGGGAAAACATGTTATTCTTCAACTTCACTGCAATTTTTCCTGGCAGACTGTTTGATCCTGTTTGCCTGCTACTAGCCCAAATTACTCAGCAAATTTTCAGGGTTTTTTTCTCCTCTTTGCACTATGCTATGGATTTTTAAATTTTTGTTCTTTCAGAAGCACTAGCAATTTCCTGGACTGTGTTTACAGGTTACCATCAGTGTAGGGTGGACACAACCACCTAGCCACAAATCTCTTGTGGTCTTTGCAGCGGCTAAGAGGTAGCATCTCAAAGGAGGGACAAGTCTGCCGTTCAGCATCTCCCTTTGCCTTAATTTATTGTTTATTTCAGCCACAGAAAAGAAGATTCCCAGGCTGCTGTGTGTTCATTAAAGATTCCATTCTGCTGTAGAGGCACAAACCTGGTTCAGTAATTTATTGGTGGCAGGCCTTTCCCGTCCCATAGACCTGAACAGTTTCAGAGTGGAGGGAGTGGTTCTAGAAAGATAGCTGATTGCTTTCAACCTGACCAAAATCACATAGAATCTTACTGCATTAGACATCACACTTCACAAGGGTTTTTAGGTACACCCCAAAGGCATGCTCAGAACAAGCTCTGTGGATGATCTTAGATCTAAACCATTTTTTACTGTACTAACATTGCGTGGCATCAGATACCCAAGTACTAGATACAGTTAGAAACAGCTAGTTAATCCACTTTGCCTTGCTGCTACTTTCCATTTCCCTTTTGCTTCCCCCTTCCCCTTGCCTCTCAGAGATGATCTGTCCCATGAGAACCTGCCTTTGCTGGAGATTGATGCTTTATCTTGGTTTGTCATAAAGTCAATGTTGGCATAGTGAAGGGGAGGAGGAGTTCTACCATAATTGTTTCCTCATGGCAGAAAGGAAGAGTGTCTGGTTCTTCATCGTACAGATGTGGAGGTTCAACTTGTGTATCTGGAACATCAAGATTATGCCCATGGCCATCATTCTTCTAGCAGTTGAAGAGGAAGACCAGTACTGGACTGTAGCAGGTGTCCACCATGGACCAGGATAGGTCAGGAGTATGTGCAGGGGAAGTCAGGCATTTTGAACAGTGTATTATGTGAACAGGGATATGGTCATTCTCCTTTACCTAATGAAGAAGCAGTTGTGACTTTTTAATGTTGGACATAGCTAGTGTGAGTAGCTCTTTAGCTACCTATCTCATCCAGTTCTTTTGTCTAAGCACAGTTCTTCTGGATAATAATTAGAATTGTCCTCCCCAATTTCTTCTCAGAGTTCAAGCATAGTTCTGCTTGCTGCCAACAAAAAGTATGTCTCTGATATCTATTTCAGCAAGTTAGTGTCTGGGTGTTTTTTCAGCTTGTTCCGGATACTGCAGCTAAGTGATCTGCTACTTGCCTTTCCGTGGTCAAGGTAAGGGACTTTGGGGCTTATTGACCTTAATTTCTTAGGCATAGCCAACCAAAGAGATTTTGACTTCAAGATCATGCTTGTCTATGAAAACTCTGCCTTCGCTATGAACAGATTGCTAATCCATTTTAACCTAGAAACACTCCATAGCACAGATTGCTCCCCTGCCTTTCCCTGGTGAGTGAGAGCAGTCAGAGCTCATAGCAAGAGCAATGACACATTTACCTTGTCTGAGTTTACAGTGTGTTGAACTGATGGTTCCATCTCTGCCTCTAGTGCCTCTGCCTTCTGCCTATTTTGGAATAATCTAATGAAGCTAAAGGAAGCTGGACTTCTGTGATCTTACATTTCTGTCACTAAACACAGCCTTTGATCAAATGATTCCTTGTTTACATTCTTTAAAGGGCTTGTCCAGAGCATACCCTGCTGTCAGACACTATTTTCCTCTGAGGATTTGGGCTTTGTTCTTATGATTCTTTTACTCCAGTTCTTTTGTCATCTTCTCATGAAAGTGGCTTCCTTCATTGCTGTTACTATTGGTGTACCTTAAGGAAAATTCAGACCTTCACAAGATCTGTTTTTTAAGGTTAGGTAGGTCCCAGGGATTCTTGTTAGAGTAGTGTCACAGTTCCATCTACATCAGCCTATATTGCTTCCTCCCAGGTACTTGCTTCAGTCGGGAAGATTCTATACATGGGTTGAGGGTTTTTTCTTTTCTCAAGCAGTGTATGTACAATCCAGGGAACATAAATACTTTGGCTGTTCCCACGTGTAAATATCAAGAGGGAAAATGCTCACAAGATTGCAGTGATTCTGTAACTGGTAGAATCCTTGTTTGTTGTCTGAGCATGTTCTAACTGGATTGCAATAACTTCTGTGATAGGAATTCATCAATTTCATGCCAAAACTAGTGCTGTAGACACAATGTTACCAAACATTATGCTGTATCTCAGGGATTCGGGAACAATTTAGTGTTACTTCAGTCTTACTCCTTGACAGAATTTTCAGTCAAGTAATTTGATCATTTGAAGACATTTCCTTGAATTTACTGGATTTCTAAGGGTTATGGAGGGAACATTTGAAGCCCATCAGTGATGTTCAAGACGTGCATGCTTTACATCTTCCCCTCTCCCATCCTTGCATTTTTCATCCAGGTAGTTGAGTGACCCAAACAACAGCAGCTGTGCTTGCTGTGTCATGGCCTAGGTAAGGGAGGGGGAAAGCATGAGACTAGTCTCTGAGGATATTCTAAGCAAATATTATTGTAATGCTCAACTGATGAGGCTCAAGTACACCTACCTCTGGAAGGCACAGGTGGATTACACATTTTAAAAAAACAGTTAATATCAGTAGCCTTTTTGTCTTTATGTGTTAATGTAGTGAGAAAGCCTTTGAATGTGTTCAGAAAGGAATCTGACTAATTTATATTTCTAAATTGAGGCATGCAATGTCTGCTTCTGAGGGCCTTCAGAGCTACCTCACTCATAAATCAAATTTGCCTACCTTTCTTCAGAAAGGCTGCTTTATTAGGCACCTGAAGCCTCAGTGCAAGTTAGATGTGTGCAGTAGGTGGACTGGATTCCAGTATATATTCAAGTTTTAAAATGCCATTCAGCTGCTACATGATGCTGTGGGAGTCTAAACTTTATGTGTATTCTAATTTACAGTCTTAGCATTCCCAAAGTCTCAAAAAGGTGGAAGACACATTTTTTTATGCAACACATAGGCGCCTGCCTACTTCCCAACTAAGATTCAGATTCAGGCACTTGTTAGTCCGTTTTTCCTTAGACAGTATCCATATTCTTTCTCACAGTGTTCCTACAAAATTGGATTCTGCAGTACATGGATACAATGCTAGGAGTTAAGAAGGATTACTATCTTTTGTGTAGTTATCTGTTAGCTGGAGTGTCTGCCCAGATGCGGGAACAGCGTTTGGAACCTGTGACACTCCCTTTCCTAGACCCCAGGAGTTTTCTGAGCCACTTGCTTGCAGAGTCAGGCTCGCTCACAGTTTCTGACCTAGCTGATGTTGAATTCTTTTCTCCACAATGGCACAGCTTCAATAGAAGGGGTGGAGAATGGCCCACCCAAGAGCAGCCTATAGCCTGGCAGTTGCAGCACTCTCCAAGGAGGTGGGAGATGTGAATTGGATATCCTTTAGGCAAAGAAGGGAATTGTGGGAGATCCAAGTTCAACCTGGGTGAATGCTTGAGCCTTTAGGCTATTGTATAAAAGGGGCAGCAGCACCACCCTCTTACTTCCCCATCTTTGAAAAGAAAAGTGAATCCTGTTAGGATTTTGAAAGAAAAGGCGTAGTCGCCTGCCTTTGAAACAAGCTCTACAGGTTGTGGATCCCAAGTGGAAGGAGACACCTCCCTGTAGCTCTGTGAAATCATTTCAGTGGTCTTCCTGCAGAGTAGGCCGAGTGTTTAACTAGATGATTTTTTTTTTAGATCTTCTGCTAAGGTGCCACATTCCTTCTATCCAAATTAGAGGAAACTTGTCAAGCTTTCAAAAAGTTACAGAATTCAAGAAGTGAGACTCTGTTCCTGCCAGTTGCACTTGAAGTAATAGGTCATGCCAAAAAGCAGTTCAGACTAGGGGGGGTTGTGTATGACATGGGCAGTCTCTAACAAGCAGAGTGGAGCATGACCAGTTATGCAGATAACTTCATCTGTGATGGGAAGCTTAGTTGAGATTTAGTGTAACTTTGTTTACTGTAAGTGTGCTTTGCTATTGTTCTTTTTCAGAGCTTTTTATTAATTTGGGAGCAGTTTGAAGATACGAATCACCACAGCTACCATTCGCACCATGGCTTAGCAAGTGGACTGCTCATCGGCCTCAGAGTTTGTCTAGCCTTGTCACTGGCTGCTGGTCTTTACCAGATTATCACTGTGGAGAGAAGCACGCTGAAAAGGGAGTTCTATATCACCTTTGCCAAAGTATGGGTTACATCAGGGAAGCTGATCCCTTCTTCTGTAAATGTAATCGTGGCATGCAGTTGACTGAAGCACTAAACTCTCTTCCTTCATAAGAAAGTTTATGTTTAAATGTCTGATTTCATTACATTTCACCCTGTCATCATACTCTGAGTAGTCATTTTAATTTGACAAGTACAGAGCTTTTAAAAACAGAAATCCCACCTTTCATTGTGTGGTTTTCATTCTGTTGATTGAAAATTAAACAATGAGTTCATAAAATAGACAGAAATGTAAATGTAATTCCTGTAACTGTCATCTCTTTCTTCTGAGCTGGCATGTAGTCATTTTATAACTTATACTCATCTTCTTTTTCAGGCCTGCATTCTCTGGTTTTTGTGCCACCCATGTCTTGCAACCATTGCTGTAATATTCAGAGAATATCAAAGAGAAAAGGTATGTACAGGCAAGATAAAAGAGATGGAATTTGAATAGTAGTTGTTCTTCATGTTTAGTGTTTGTTAGCAAACTCATGCTCTTAGGCTGTTAATCTTATGACCCCAAAGCAACTTGAAAAGTCTTAGTCACACAGCTCTCATTGATGCTAATGTGAGTCATATTTTACAAAGGCATACAGGGTTTGAATCATCTAAGGATAATAATTTCTAGGTTAAGGGAGGGAGAGGGGGAGATTGTTAAGTCAAAGGAAAATGTGGAGGGGGTGTTTTGTTTTATTGTTTGCTTGTTTGCTTTTTAATTAAAAACACCTTGGGGATTCTTTTAACAAAGGTAGTAGAAAGATAAATCAGTGGAATTTTTTTTGTTGTTTGCTTTTTAGTCTTCATCCTTTAAAAGCTTTATGTGGCTAAATAGGTCAGGGAACCTGTAGCTGAACTGTATTCTTCAGATCAAAAATCTGTCCAAATATGTAGTTTGGTTTGTAAGCTCTAAACAGTTAAAACAAAGATGGACTCACTGGGTTTCCCTATTGCTTAAACATTTTGGAAACTAGAGAACTATGTGTGTGGAGCCTGCCATGTTCAGGTGAAGTGCACGGCTATTCTCAGGTGATTGACTACCTCATTCCAGGGTAGGGTTTGCTTCTTTCCTTTATGCTTATAACCATCTGTGCATTTGTATGCAAATATATTCAGAAATTCAGCTTTTATTTGTGTAGAGGATATGTTAGGGAAAAAAAAAGCTTCCACTAAAAATATATAGTAAATTAAATACTACATTTAATTTACTCAAAAAAAAGAATAGTAAGAAAAAGGCAGAAAAAGAGCTACTAAGGAAGAGACTTTTTGTTGTTACTTGATAGAAATGTCCTCAGGGGAGGAGAACAATCTCTAGATAGGTAGGATCAGTAAAGGAATTTTTTTGCAGATTTTGAGCTTACTGAAGAGAGAGTACAATTGCTCTGCTGTTGTATCTGAGCAAGTTTAACCATTGTGTGCAGCTGCAGTTTTCTACACAGTGATAATTTAGCTGTATGCAAGCTTCTTTAAATGCAGTTCAATATAATAAAGAAATGCATGATCAATAAATACCATAATTATTGAAGAAAAACATGAATCTTAAAAGATTCTCTGTACATAAACTGAAGACTTTTGCTTTCTCAGAAGCAGTAGTTGTACCTTTATGCATTTGTTAAATCCTGCCTTACACATCTTTTACAGATGAAGAGACTTGAACTGAAAAGAGGTCTGGCTAAGTGAGATTGATAAATCACTAACCTCACAGCTCCATGATTGTGCTAGTGCAAAGTGTCTCCAGGCTTTCCTTTTTTTTTTTTTTCCTACTCTGGTTGTTGTAAGAATAGAATATCTAAACATCACCTCTGCTTGTGAAACTGCATGGGTGGTGAATTGCAAGTCTGAAATTCCCCAGAACAGAGACTGCCAGAAGGGTTATGTGACTTGCCCAGGGCTATCTACTGATTTAAAAACACCCAGGTGTGAGAGTCTGAATCCTGGGCTTGAGATGCATGTTCAAATCTTTTGTAACTGCAGCAGTATTAAAAGGTTTAAAGTTAAACCTCAAGTACTCACACAGTATGCTGATAGAAACTTACTGTGGGTTGTTTGGTGGGAGGTTTTTTCACTTACTTTTTCTGTCTTTTTTTTTTTTTTGTCTCTAGATTATTACCATAGGTGTTATTCTCTGTCAGTGCATCTCCATGGGTATGCTCTACAGACTTTTTCTATCTCACAGTCTATATTGGGAAGTATCTTCACTGTCATCAGTGACATTGCCACTAACAGTATCCTCTGGACATAAAAGTCGACATCACTTCTGAGATGTTTAGGAAGAATATATTATGTAATAAATGTGCAATAATAACTTAAATATACAGGTATTTTTGTCACGGGTGTGTGGTAGCTTGGTTTCACTGGAAAACTGAGTGATAATGGAGCATTTCACAGACCTTTGGTCTGACAAGGTTCCTACTTTAATCTGTTAAAAGTGTTGTGGATTGCAGAAATCCACTGTTTGAATGGTTTTTTAAATACTGTTTATGTGTAGCATGTGGTGCTGAGCTGCATCACAGAAAAATACAGTGAGTCTTTCCCATTCATGGACATCTAAAATGCCCTTAGTTAGTATCAATACTAGGTATGAAGGTCTTATAAAATGCAGTTCTTAAAACATCTGCAAGCTGAAACAAGTCTGAAATGGGCCAGTTGTGAAATTGGTGTGATACATAACGATGAGTAAAAGGTTTTTTTATTTTCATGCTTTAGAGAAAATGGGTTTTATGTATCAGTATAAAAGATGGGGAAACAAAAGAGGGAGAATCCTCTAGAAAACACATGTAAAATGTTCACAACTGACTGCAAGAAACTTTGCTTTATTCTTGGTGTAAAAGAAAAGCGTTTTTTTGCAACTGATGTTCATACTGGTTAAAATTCTAATGGGAATGAAAATAGGGTTTATATCTGCCTTTTTTTAAAGAAATGTAAGTAAAAATTTCATCCAGTAATGAAGGTCTAAACAGTATTTGAGGCTTAGGAGACATAGCATAAAGGTAATTAAAAAAGCAGGCTTGCATCTTTTAAAGAAAAAAAGGCAAAGAAATGGAATGGGTGATGTGGTACTAGAATTTTAATCCTGATATAATTCATTTCTGTTACATTGAGGATTCAATCATAATTAAGCCATATACACAGATTAAATTAACAGAAGCATTTCAAATAAATGTTGGTTTCAGTCATCAACTACCCATGAATTCCTGCCCAAGGATACTTAATCAGGATTAAATTTTCTATGAATAATTGAAAAACAAAATACTCACTGGATTTGTTATAATCCATGTTGGCACTGGGTTCTAAGTAGTTGCCATCTTCCATCCATTGTAATAAAGCCATACTACTTTGTGATGCCCTAGCATTCCCAAAGCCAGTGTAAATATATACTTTATTGAAGTGCCTATTTATTGAGTATGATTAAATCATGCTGACATTTTTTTCCTTCATAATAAGAACATACCTATTGCCATTGTGACTGAAATGTTTCTTTTTGGATTTAGTTTAGTATTTGTCAAATTTTAGACTTCATATGTGTGTGTTTCTTCACAAAATGGATTTTATTTTCTAGTAAACGAGTGTTTGTTTCTTCTTAACTGTGTATTTAACTATGTCTCTATGAAAGTGTGAAGACACCGGTTCTAGCTTTAAAATAGCCCCAACTTTTCCAGTCGTATTGCCTCAGTCGTGAGCATAGTTGAAACATAAGTCTGTTCCATTTTAGTTTAGAGGCAAAACTAGACATTTGCCTTTGACTAAGGCAAAATGGCAACATGACAAAGTTGCTCATTAAATCATCTCCTTTCTTATTGTTTGTAATTCAGATCAAGAATGGCAGGTTGAGGCTGGAAAAGATGAGATATTATGATTTCACACAATCTTCAGAATGATTAAAAGATTAATTATTACATTCCTCTGATAACCACACAAAAATATTATTGGTTAAAACTTCAGTCTTTATTTCCCTGCTTATCTCTGTACTTTTCATCTTCTCAAGAAAAAAAAGCATCCTGTTTTTGATGAGTCTCCAATAATGCAGTAGAAGAGTTCTATCTGCCCTCATGTATAACACTTGAAATTCACACATAGAATAGAATTTTCTGATAGGCACAAGAACTACTTTACAGTTTATGAGCCATCTGATAAAAGTTTTAATCTATGCAGAAAAACCTCTATGTGACTTTCAGAAGAGGTTCTCCATTTGTTTTATTTTCCAGAAGTACTTGCTTCTTACTTCCTGTAGCTCCTCTGCCTTCAGTCGGTCAGTATTATGATACCGTTTACCTTAATTTCACCTTATGAATATACCCTACAACAATTCACAGTTAATTAGTGTAAATATGAAACGTAAGATGTTGTCTCTTAAATCTTTCCCACATTGCCCCATAAGTCAAGAGGTAACAATAGTTTCTTAGTTTGACATTGAATCCAATTATTTGAAAATAAAATTTTAATTTTGCTATTAATGTAATTGTAGCAATTAAGTATGACTTTCTCATGGTTAGTGGTACAAAGGACATGCATTTCTGCCCAGGTCTATTAGCAGTCTTTGATAACCAAAGCTCACTGATTTTTTGTTTTAAATAATTAATGCATACTGTAGCAGTAGGTCCAGGTGAGTGCAATAATATTTCAAGACATCACTTAATTTGGTGCAGGATCTCTCTGGGGGGAGTCCTGAAGTATGACTAATTGTTACCTCAAGCTGAAGCTTACTGCTGTTGGATCATACTCAAAGAATGGTTTGAGTATGTGAAACCCAAGCTCTTCTTCCTAACGTACATCTCCCATGAGACCAGCTGATAAGACCTTGCTTTTTTTCATGCTTATCCATACTGCTATCCATTCTATCAATTTGATTTCATAACCTCATCTTGGAAAAACTGCTTCTAGCCTTCTTTCAATTGTTTTCAATCCATGCATCCTGACTTGGAAACTTTTCTTCTAAAACATGTTTCTGGCACCAAAAAAAAATGGTTTTCTGCTGCAAACTGGAGCTTTCACATACACCTGAAGAATTCATGATGTACCCTACATCCGCTCTGTGTTAGGTGCCAGCAGTGGACACAAGCACTCCTCCAGTACACCCATGGCTCCAGGGTGTACGTGGTGTGGGTTTGTGCCCACTGAAAGCTGCCATGCAGCTGGGGAAGTATCAGGAAGAGCTGCAGCAGCTCCAGGCTCCCTCTGCCTCGCTGCTACAAGAGACTCAAGAGGGGTGGCCCTGGAGGCAGCACTGCCACTGCTGGCCGTGGTGGGCAGCGCTGTTCAGTTGAGGTCAAAGGACAACGTCTCTCTTAAGAGTGTCTGTGCGTATGTAGTTCTGTTTTAAATAAAGTTAGGGTTACAGAGTCTACTAATTCTATTGCCCACATGTTTGGTGCTCAGAAAAGATGAGTGTGTATTGACATGACTGCAAACTGAAGTCAGTTGTGCTGTGAGGAGATCCACTTCTACGCACGAGAGGACATCTGGCCAGCCATAATCTTTTCTGCTGGCACAGATGCCAGTTTGCCTCAGTTAGGATTTATTGGTTAGTAGGGAGGATCCGTGTTGAGGAGACACGAGGGTGAGATCACTAACTTGACCTACAGGACCCCCCACAAGCTGTCAGGAGGATCATCCTTCATTGCTCCTGATCAGCGGTGTGGAGGCAGGAGCAGTTCTGGGGCTCATCACAAGTCCTCTAAGCTGTTCTTTCCCTTTCTGTGTAGAATGTGTTTATTTTATATTTATTTAAAATGCTTCAGGTAGGAAAAATGAATATTTACAATTAAATATATGTAAATGGAAGTGGAAAGGCTTGATTGGAAAAATATCAAGTTTCTAATACATATTACAATAGTAAGACCTCCCACACACGACAAACATTTATAGCCAGATCTAATGAATATTTCTTTCTGGTTTCTGTGCCAATGGAAAGCCATGTAAGTATCAAGATCTTTTTGTTTGTATCTTGATCCTCTACAGAACTGGAAGAATATTTTATTTGATTTGGCTCTAGTTTATTCTGTGCAATGTTCTGCCTCTAGTTAATAGAATAAATGTTTATTGGGCTGGCCAAGGCTGATGTTATGCTGTACCTTTTACCTCTTTTTATGTGACTATGCAATGTACAAAAAGCAGGTGACCCTTGCTAATGTCAGACATTAAAAGAGAAAGTATTAAGCCGTTTTTCAAAGGATGTTTCTTTTCTAACTGCACTGATCCAACCAGGCTGTGATTTTCCAGTGAACACAAGTTCTGATTCCAGTTGTTTTTAAACCATTATTTTCTGCAAATCTATTTCCTGCCTTGTGAATTCTCTCTCCCACTGTACTCTGTCTCTGCCCTCCCCTCTTGCTCTCTCATACATATGATTTTGTGTGTAATGGGTGTCATCTCTATCTCTCCATCTGTTCCCACGATCAGCACTCACAGTCCAGCCCCTACTTTGCATCTAGTATGTGTATTCTCTTTATCCTTGGCCTGTTTTGATTTCGCGCTTTTCCTGTCTCTCCTTCGCTCTCTCTACCATCTCTTTAGTCTCCCTAGCCATCAGAGACCCGAGGGTGTGGCTTGACATCGCAGCTAATTTAGGCTCTAAAAAAAAAAAAAAACAATGCCCCTGTTGCCCTGACTGCACACTGCCCTCTCTTCACTTGAACGGACACTGGCTGTCACCTAGCAGTTTGAGTGACTTGAGGAGTTAAACTGGTACATAATTCGGCCTTTAGCAGCAGTCAAAGGAAAAACAATTTATTTCTCAGTGGTTTTAGCTCACCAAACCAGGTCATCAGGGTTTGATGAGTGCTGGTGGCACTGCTGGGGATGGGGAAGAAAAGGCACATTGAAGAGGAGCCAGATCCCCTTTAGAAGGGCAGCTGCAAGGTTGCTCAGTCTTTTGCAAACTACCAGCCTTGTAACTCCTCCATCTCACTCTTCTGCATGTCTCCTGCTGCATTTTGCATGCTAAGGATTGACCTGTCCCTGCCCTTAACAGCGGCTTGTCAACAGTAGTGTGCTATGGGTGCAGGAGGGTTGCAGCAAAAGGAAAACTGGCTGCTTTAAAGTATTTTAGATTGAGCATGGTCAGTGGTGACTTTGCAGCCTTAAAAGGAGCTGAGAGGTGTCATGAGCAGCCCCCAGTTTGAGGAAGTATTTTTGAGGGGGGAAAACCACCGTGAAAATAGCTAGGACTTGAGTGGGTGCCAATCTTTTCAACAGATGACAGCACTGTGGTAGAAGGCAACCAAGGAGGGCACACAGCTTCTCACAAGGTCTGCCTGTGGCTGGGGAGAGACTTAATCCAGACTTCTGCAGCCCAAAGAGCAAAGGTTTCCAGCAGCAGGAACTCGAAGGCTGCTTTTATCTATCGGCTTGTTAATCTGC